TATGAATTTCTCAATTTTTGTGTATCATTGAAAGTTACATAGAGAATATTTATACAGAGAATTTTACACCTGAACTCCTAATTACATGGCGTGATACTTGCACAACACAGAGACTGTGACTACTTCTATTTCACACGTGTGCTGACTTGACTTTTATATCGTTATTAGTTTTTGTCCTCTGGAAATCTGAAATAACAATTGTTTTGTGTTTACTTGAAAATATGTGTTTGTGATTGCTTGAAATTCTTGAAATGTTCTTTCTGAAAACATATGTGATCCAGGAGCTGAAGATGAAGTTGTTAGTGATGAAGAAACACATGAATCCGAATATCATAAGCCAATTTGTTTTAACTGATTTATTGGATATTGTATGATGTCTGTTTTGTATTCAGAATGTAATTTAGAGGGCTAAAATGGTCATTTTCCTCATTAAGAGGCACATATTCAGATGCCTAACCAAACATCATTTTATTGTTCAGATACATATTCCTAAAGAGCCTCTAGATCATCCAGGCATCTATATCATTCAAATATGATTCATCCAGATGCTACCAAACAGTCCCTAAGTCGTGAAACTTTTTTTTTCTCCCAGTTTTTCTGTCAATCTACTTACATAGAGCCTATGTGAGATTGATGTGTCATATTGATTGAAATTTAAAAACAACGAATCATTTAAGTAGACTAAAACTGTCATTTATTTCTTTGGAAACCAACATTTTTTGTCTAGTCGCAGTTACCTCCATTCTCAAGCATACCTACAATTACTTTTTGAAATGTTTGTACTTGAAATCAGAGGTATGCTAATGATCTTCTAAAACATAGCAAATCGGCAAATCCTAGTAACTGTAGACCGTTTTTCTGTTAATAAGACTAAGGTGTTGTTTGTTTTTTTTAAAACCACTTCTGACCACTTATTGCTGCGCCACACAGCACACACGCAAACACATGACCTTTCGCAACTGTTTGTTTTTCAGAAGACTTCTGACTTAAAAACTGTTGCGTGTGTGCTGCGTGACGCATCACTGGACCATTTGCTTCAAACCTCTTCACACCTTACTTTAACTTATTGCAGCAGTCTGCAGAGGTTAAAAAACAAACAAACTTTTTATTACATGCTACAGCCGTTTGGTCCCCCTCTTCTGCTACAGAGGGTTGTAGAGGTAGTCCGCAGACTTTAGGCATTTTCGCTTTGAAAAAACAAATAGCACCTAAATGACAGTGGAAATCAGATTTTTCCATTGATATCCATTATCATGGTGTGTTCGTACCCAATCCTATACGTTACAAAGAAGGCACGATATATACAATTCCAAATTCCGACTACAAAACTTTGTTATTTGAAGGATGGGCTCAAGAAGATGATTGAGGATCGACGTAATTCTTATATTATTGTGTTTCCGAGTCACTATCTCATGGGTTATGAAAGCTTCAAGATGAAGTTGACTACATCAAATTTGTTGATTACATGTATACAAGTGGTAATACGATATCTATTTACATTGATCAATTTAAAGAGCTTTTGTTTGAAGAAAGACGAGGTAAATCCTACTTTTAACAACACTATAAATGATAAGTTTTGGATGCGGACTACATCAAATTTCCATACAAGCATGTTTGGGAAGATGAGGCAAATCCCATTTTTAATAACACAATAAATGACAAGTTTTTAAGTAAACCGTGTGTAATTGGCGATGCAAAGAAATAGACAGATAAATCTCAAAATATAAGTCAATGTGATAATACCGTGAAGCCATATAATCCTATCATTGTCACTAAGGTGCTGTTTGTTTTTTCGAAGCGAAAATGTCTGAAGTTTGCGAACCACCTCTGCAACCATCTGTAGCAGAAAAGGGGACCAAACGGCTGTAGCATGTAATAAAAAGTCTGTTTGTTTTTTAACCTCTGTAGACTGCTACAATAAGTTAAAGTAAAGTGTGAAGAGGTTTGAAGCAGATGGTCAAGTGATGCGCCACGCAGCACACACGCAGTAGTTTTTAAGTCAGAAGTCTTCTGAAAAACAAACAGCTGTGAAGGGCCAAGTGTTGCACGTGTGCTGCGAGACGCAACAATAAGTGGTCAGAAATGGTTTTTTAGAAAACACAAACAATACCTAAGGCAACTTAAATGACATGACCTAGTTAATAGGTGGTGGCGATATGACATTCAGCCAACACAAGTTTTTAAATTGTGTTTTCTTTATCTTTTTATTTTGTATGACCGATGTATTTTAAATAGATGAATAGTTTTTACATAGAGGCCATTAGGTATTTAAGAGCATAGACAATCCATCAAAAAAAATAGTGAAACTTAACCCATCAAACAAAGAAGTGTAAGTTAATCCGTCATCCAAATTAGGCCAAAGTCTAAGAGGATAACAAATCCAAGATGAAGATAAGGAGAGGTGGATTAGGTTAATTAATTTCAAAACCAATTGTATTGAGTAGTTGATGCAAGGTGTCGGGATGGGGCCATATATTTTTTTTGCTTGACAAAACATAAATGTCAAAAGCTTAAGGGTAGTGGAAGATTTAAGATTTTTTTTTTGTCGGAGGCACTTGCGATCATCTATATAACTGGCCAGTAAAATGGTCAAAATAACTAGTCTGGTCTCATGTTTTTTAGACCCTTTATTCGGTTCGGATTCTAGTTCTTTTGGTTCAGTTTTGTTTTTTACGGTTCGTTTTCATAACTATAGTGCTAAAGTATTTTGGTTTAACATAGCACATACAAAGCATCCAAACTTGTGACTATATTGCTAAACTAGTTTGCATTATATATATATATATATATATATATATATATATATATATATATATATATATATATATATATATAATTAGCTAAGTACTTAAAAGTAAATAAATATTTTTATAGTTTGCTTTATATCGATTGGTAGTTAAGTAGTTAAAGTACTTGAGATAACTAATGTATAAAAATACCATTTGATGCGTATGGGGTTGATAATTGATTAATAATTTGATATAACAACATATAATACCTTATCAAATGAAAACGAGTAAACTGAATTTAAAATTGGAAAATATGTATAAGTTAGTTAAAAGTTAAAGTAGGAAAAAGAAATGACTTACCAAAGACAAAGAAGATATAAGAAATAAGTGTTTGTTTACCAAAGAACCATCCCACATCCAGTTGGGTGAAAAAATAGAGATGTGATCAATTATAAAAAAAGGGGAATATGGATACTGCCAAAGAGATATTCTACTGACTTTTAAGTTTAATTTCTTTTTCCCAAATTGGGTCGGGGGCATCCATAATAATAATGTTTTTAAGGCCATCTTTTCTAGTACAAAATATGAGGTAATTGAATTGGCATGGGGGCATGTGCACCCATATCTTAAAGGGTGCATCCGCCCCTACTGAAGGGTTGTATTTTTGCAAATTTGGGTTGTATTTAGGGGTATGTTTAGCCATAAACACTTAAATTTGCAGTGTTTAATCTTAAACAATGCATTTTGAATGCAATGATAAATTCTTGCCTTTTGGATGTTTATGATATGCAAGTTTCCAATTTCGTAAACCTAATATAATAATATAGTATGCAACTGTCCAGGTTTTAAACATGTCATAACAACTAATATAACAATATAGTATGCAACTTTCCAGGTTTTTAAACATGTCATAACAACATCCTCAGATAACAAGTTGACCATTTGCTCATGCACATTAATCATTAAAAATTGTCAACTGATTTACATAGAAATGTTAGTGATCATATTGCAATGTCAAACCTAATAAACTTAGTACAACACTCACGAACACCATACAATATAACAGAGAAACGTCATTTCCAAAAAAACAGAGCTAGATTACAATGATCACTACAAAAAGTACATTCAAAAGCTTGTTATGATTTAACATTTTAACTTGTCTTTTAGTGCATCCATTTCCTTATGTTTCTCTTTTAAACGTTGGAACGTCTCTGCAATTACTGATAACTTCTCCTCAAGAGTCAATATATGCTTCCATCTCCTCATAATTAAAACTCATTGTGGGGACTAATAATGAGGGTAGGTGGTTGCATTATCTTGAACAAGGTAACAGTGGTAATATTAAGGGTAATTCAGTTTCTATTGTTAAGTGTTGTGTGTTAAGGAAACTTGACACAGTAGACTAGGACACCCATTTGAAGCAGTCTTGGCCATTTTAAAGAACTCTCTTCATTTAGGATAAAAAGTGTTGCCTCGTTGTGATATATGTAGAGATCCTTCTCCTCTTAGTGAACTCATTCATATTGATGTATATATGACCCCACAGGTGACAAGTTTAGGTTTATAAAAAAACCATTATTGATGACTTTACTAAGCTTGTTTGGATTATTTTGTTAAGAAATAAAAGTGAATATTTTGACAATGTTGGAACTTTTTTTTACTATTTTTGTAAATTAACTTTAATTAGAGAGTCAAAATACACAAAACTGTGAAAACATATAATGTTACTGAATGTCTGAATCTATCAATAAGAAGATGAATAAGTTTGTTAAGGATAAGGGCATTATTCGTCAACTATGTCTGTACTCCTCATCAAAATAGTGTTGTTGAATGAAAGCATATACATGACATCTTTTAAATATTGTTCGATCCTTTTTGTTTCGAAGTGCTATTCCACAAAAACAATGGGGTGATATCGTTCTTACTACTTTTTATCTTATTAATATTACCCATTCATCCGTTTTAAAGGGAAAGAATCCTTATGAAATGATTTATTACAACAAGGCACGATCTCCTAGTCCACCAAGGGTTTATGTTTGGCTATGTTGCGCACAAGATTAAATGCATGTGACAAGTTTAAGCCCATGACAGAAAAATGTGATTTTAATGGGTATTCATTCCATTTAAAAAAAAAAAAGTTACAAATTATATGGGCAACACAAAAAGGGTAGCCAGGTATGTGACCTTGGTTGCCAAACTTTGAGTTTAAATGGGCATAATCTGGTCAATAAAACCTACAATGCTGCTATTGCTACCTAACACTTAAGCAACCACACAAAAACACCCATATTGTTTTGGCCTTGGATTAAAACCAAGAGCCTATCACAAAAGCTTATAATTACATAACAAACTTCAAAAGTCTACTGACCCAATACTTACTTACAATTCCTCAGGCTTTGTTTTTCTGGGCAGCTTCTTCTTGGGCGTGGTGGCTGCCCGAAATGCAGACGGGCAGAGCTCATTAACGCTACACAAACTACAAGAAGGCCGAAGAGGAGTACAAACCGTCTGCCCGAATCCCACCAAAAGAGGATTTATCGGGACCCACTCCTCCTTCGGAAGCCACATCTGCAACGCCTCTCGTGTCTCCTCTGGTGTCTTTGTCCCCATAACCCAACCAAGCCGATTACAAATCCTATGCACATGTGTATCCACACATATCCCTTGCACATTATCCCACCCCACATTCATAACCAAATGACCCATTTTAGGACCAATACCCGGAAGTGACAACAATCCCTCGAGTGTATTCGGAATGTCCCCGTTATATTTCATCAAACATATTTTCGCTATTTTCTTCATGTTAGTGGCTTTTCTCGTGTAAAATCCAACGGGGTAAATCAAGTTTTTTAAGGTTGTTTCATCGGCTTTCTCGATTGTTTCTGGTTTTAGAAGGTTGCTGTCTTGGAGACGTTGTATGGCTCCATGGGTGACGTGGTCTTTTGTTTGGCTTGAGAGAAGTGAAGATATCAAAACTGCAAATCTTCTTTCTTTTGGAGGGAGAGAAGTACCCGCTTTTTCACATCCCATGGAGTCTACCGGGGCATCATTTAAAGATCTCATTTTGTGAATTTGTTCGAGAACTTTTTCCCAGTTTAAAGGTGGGTTGACTGATTTGACCTGGGTTTTGAGTCTGGATTTTGTTAGAGGTAGGTTAACATTTGGTTTTCCGTATGCGAATTCTTCGATGTCGGGTAGGATACTAGTGAATTTCTGGTCCTGAGGCTCTGTTTTTGTGACTAATTCGGGGTTTCTTGATCTCTTTCTTCTGACAAAAACACGGTGTTCTGATGCAGAAGTGGACTCAGGCTCTGATTTGATAGATGTTATTTTGGTATGCATTCTGTTGTAGGTGAAGTTGGTTTGTGCCAAAGCTGCAGGAAGAATCATGTGGGTTCTGTGAAGAATGATATGCAATCAAGATAGATGTAGGGGTAAAGAAATTTAAAAAGAAAAAAAGGGACAATGTGAAGAGTTATGGTGATAAGAAAATACTGTAGATGGATGAGCATAGGAAGCACTTGTTGATGCAGCAGACACATGATAAACTAGTAGACCACCATATTCAGATAGAAGTAACCTCTGACCTATACATACTGCTCAAGGGTTTTACAAATATCTTGTATGCTACAGAAGTTTATCCTCATTATTCAAGCAGCTGACATTGTCTTTCTAAAAGTCCATATAGGCATATGGATTATCCTTACAACCACAACAATTCAAGGCTTTACATAACCTACTCTATTTAAAACTTAACATAATACACAACTTCAGGTTTTAATAAGAACAGCTTCCTCACAAGATTATATGAAAAATTGGGAAGTTAATTATCTTAATACTCGATTATCCGGATATTAATGTGCATCCGATTTTGTAATCACTATGTCCATTTTTCCTTCACGACAACTCAAGCTAATCAATAGCTTATTATCAAGTTATAAGGGCGTAGCTTACACAAGTTAAATTGCATATTTAACACATTTATGTACTAAAGGATGAACATATTACATATATCTGTACAAAGTGTTCTTGTTTCGCACAGAGGGAAGATTATCCAATTCTATACGAGAGA